TTAAAAATTTTTTTATTCTATAGTGTGAAGCTGTGCGTGATCAACCATATTTGTTAAATTGTAATAATTGCAACGAAACAACAAAAAACAAACTTCTTATGTTTGTGTTAACTTGTAAACATATGATCGGCCTTACGTTAGAATGTCTATTCTTGTTTGTTTCTATAACTGCTTCTTATACATGTGGTGAATTGTGTATGCTCGGATAAAATGGTAGGGAAGTTTTTGTGTTCACATGTCCCCATCATATTGTGGTACGTAATTTTCTGTGTTCACCTGACTCCTTTGTAAAGTGATCGGGAAGTTTGTGTGTTCACCTGTCTCCTTTGTAAAGTGATAGGGAAGTTTGTGTGTTCACCTGTCTCCTTTGTAAAGTGATAGGGAAGTTTGTGTGTTCACCTGTCTCCTTTGTAAAGTGATAGGGAAGTTTGTGTGTTCACCTCTTTGTAAGTGATATGGAAGTTTGTGTGTTCACCTGTCTCCTTTGTAAGTGATAGGGAAGTTTTGTGTGTTGTCACCTGTCCCTCCTTTGTAAAGTGATGATGGAGTTTTTGTGTTCACCTGTCTCCTTTGTAAAGTGATAGGGAATTTGTGTGTTCACCTGTCTCCTTTGTAAAGTGATAGGCAAGTTTGTGTGTTCACCTGTCTCCTTTGTAAAGTGATAGGGAAGTTTGTGTGTTCACCTGTCTCCTTTGAAAAGTGATAGGGAAGTTTGTGTGTTCACCTGTCTCCTTTGTAAAGTGATAGTTAAGTTTGTGTGTTCACCTGTCTCCTTTGTAAAGTGATAGGGAAGTTTGTGTGTTCACCTGTCTCCTTTGTAAAGTAATAGGGAAGTTTGTGTGTTCACCTGTCTCCTTTGAAAAGTGATAGGGAAGTTTGTGTGTTCACCTGTCTCCTTTGTAAAGTGATAGGGAAGTTTGTGTGTTCACCTGTCTCCTTTGTAAAGTGATAGGGAAGTTTGTGTGTTCACCTGTCTCCTTTGTAAAGTGATAGGGAAGTTTGTGTGTTCACCTGTCTCCTATGTAAAGTGATAGGGAAGTTTGTGTGTTCACCTGTCTCCTTTGTAAAGTGATAGGGAAGTTTGTGTGTTGACCTGTCTCCTTTGTAAAGTGATAGGGAAGTTTGTGTGTTCACCTGTCTCCTTTGTAAAGTGATAGGGAAGTTTGTGTGTTCACCTGTCTCCTTTGAAAAGTGATAGGGAAGTTTGTGTGTTCACCTGTCTCCTTTGAAAAGTGATAGGGAAGTTTGTGTGTTCACCTGTCTCCTTTGAAAAGTGATAGGGAAGTTTGTGTGTTCACCTGTCTCCTTTGAAAAGTGATAGGGAAGTTTGTGTGTTCACCTGTCTCCTTTGAAAAGTGATCGGGAAGTTTGTGTGTTCACATGTCCCCATCATATAGTGATAGGGAAGTTTGTATGTTCACGTTTCCCTATCGTGCAGTGGTAGAGAAATTTGTGTGTTCTCATGTCCCCACTGTATAGCAATAGGACAGTTTATTATGTCCCCATCATATAGTGATAGGAAAGTTTATGTTTTTATATGTCCCCATGGTATAGTGAGAGGGATGTTTATTGTGTCCTCATCGCATAGTGAAAGGGAAGTTTGTGTGCTCACATGTCCCCATTGTATAGTGGTAGGGAAATCGGTTATGTCTCCATCATATAGTGATAGGGAAGTTTATGTGTTCACAGGTCCCCATCGTATAGTGATAGAGAAGTTTATGTGTTCACATGTCCCCATCGTATAGTGATAGGAAATTGTGTTATGACCACATCATTTAGTGATAGGGAAGTTTATGTGCTCACATGTCTCCATTGTATAGTGGTAGGGAAGTATATGTGTTCACATGTCCCCATCGTATAGTGGTAGGGAAGTTTATTATGTCCACATCGCATAGTGATAGAGAAGTTTATGTGTTCACATGTCTCCATCATATTGTGGTAGGGAAATCAAAATGTTATCCTTGATAGTTTAGTCAAGGCATAGTAAAACTCACCAGTTCCCTCCCCTAAAAGGGTTGTGCATGCGGTAGTGGTATACTCATGATTGTTTGGTTGTCATTGTTATGACCTAATTTGAGATTCAGCTTTAACCTTGTGGGACCGAAAGAGTTACCCTTTTGTTTACTGTTCACATTTTGAAAAACCTGATTTTTCATGTAATTTCTGTTCAATGTTTTCTGTTGCCAGAATCCAGACCTTCATGTTCTGAGTGACTCCAGCAGGATAAGTGCCAAGGTAATTAGTTGTTGGCAACAGTAAATGGGGGAAATGGAAAATTTTAACATTGGTAGAGTTATTGGGAAGACTTGCTGAGAAGAGTTATTGGGAAGACTTGCTGAGAAGAGTTATTGGGAAGACTTGCTGAGAAGAGTTATTGGGAAGAGTTGCTGAGAAGAGTTATTGGGAAGACTTGCTGAGAAGAGTTATTGGGAAGACTTGCTGAGAAGAGTTATTGGGAAGACTTGCTGAGAAGAGTTATTGGGAAGACTTGCTGAGAAGAGTTATTGGGAAGACTTGCTGAGAAGAGTTATTGGGAAGAGTTGCTGAGCACAGTTATTGGGAAGACTTGCTGAGAAGAGTTATTGGGAAGAGTTGCTGAGCACAGTTATTGGGAAGACTTGCTGAGAAGAGTTATTGGGAAGACTTGCTGAGAAGAGTTATTGGGAAGACTTGCTGAGAAGAGTTATTGGGAAGAGTTGCTGAGCACAGTTATTGGGAAGACTTGCTGAGAAGAGTTATTGGGAAGACTTGCTGAGCACAGTTATTGGGAAGAGTTGCTGAGCACAGTTATTGGGAAGACTTGCTGAGCACAGTTATTGGGAAGACTTGCTGAGCACAGTTATTGGGAAGACTTGCTGAGCACAGTTATTGGGAAGACTTGCTGAGCACAGTTATTGGGAAGACTTGCTGAGCACAGTTATTGGGAAGACTTGCTGAGCACAGTTATTGGGAAGAGTTGCTGAGAACAGTTATTGGGAAGACTTGCTGAGAAGAGTTATTGGGAAGAGTTGCTGAGAAGAGTTATTGGGAAGACTTGCTGAGAAGAGTTATTGGGAAGACTTGCTGAGAAGAGTTATTGGGAAGAGTTGCTGAGAAGAGTTATTGGGAAGACTTGCTGAGAAGAGTTATTGGGAAGAGTTGCTGAGAAGAGTTATTGGGAAGAGTTGCTGAGAAGAGTTATTGGGAAGACTTGCTGAGAAGAGTTATTGGGAAGAGTTGCTGAGAAGAGTTATTGGGAAGACTTGTTGAGAAGAGTTATTGGGAAGACTTGTTGAGAAGAGTTAGTGGGAAGAGTTGCTGAGAAGAGTTATTGGGAAGACTTGTTGAGAAGAGTTAGTGGGAAGAGTTGCTGAGAAGAGTTAGTGGGAAGAGTTGCTGAGAAGAGTTATTGGGAAGAGTTGCTGAGAAGAGTTATTGGGAAGACTTGTTGAGAAGAGTTAGTGGGAAGACTTGCTGAGCACAGTTATTGGGAAGACTTGCTGAGCACAGTTATTGGGAAGACTTGCTGAGCACAGTTATTGGGAAGACTTGTTGAGAAGAGTTAGTGGGAAGAGTTGCTGAGAAGAGTTATTGGGAAGACTTGTTGAGAAGAGTTAGTGGGAAGAGTTGCTGAGAAGAGTTAGTGGGAAGAGTTGCTGAGAAGAGTTATTGGGAAGAGTTGCTGAGAAGAGTTATTGGGAAGACTTGTTGAGAAGAGTTAGTGGGAAGACTTGCTGAGCACAGTTATTGGGAAGACTTGCTGAGAAGAGTTATTGGGAAGACTTGCTGAGAAGAGTTATTGGGAAGACTTGCTGGGGAAAGTTATTGGAAAGAGTTACTTAAATGTTACAGGAAGATGTTTAGAGTATCATAGAGGTGGAAAACACTGACATTCTTGATGATCTTTCAGTAATCTGTATCTGATTCTGCCCATGTGAGTTCCTGGCCCCATTTTGGGGCAGAAAAATAGATCCACTGGCACCCGCCCCCTCCACACACATGTCTTAAAGGACGGCTGATTAAGGGTATTTCCTTCAAAGATGGAGTGCATCAGCCTGAGAGATGATAAAGAACCAACAGCTGGGTAAAAATCTGTAAAGATTCTGCCAGATCTGTAAAACAGATTTGCATGCATAACGCAAGTTCTGGAACAAGACCAAAGCCCCTAAGTGGATGAACAACCAGAACTTTTCACCAGAGTTTACAGCCATTTAATGCTAATAAGAAGAAAAGCAAATCAGATGTGAGTGTTGACCAAAACCCAGCCTGTGTCTGTTTGTGTTGACCAGAACCCATCTGTGTCTGTTTGTGTTGACCAGAACCCAGTCTGTGTCTGTTTGTGTTGACCAGAACCCAGTCTGTGTCTGTTTATGTTGACCAGAACCCAGTCTGTGTCTGTCTGTGTTGACCAGAACCCAGTCTGTGTCTGTTTGTGTTGACCAGAACCCAGTCTGTGTCTGTTTGTGTTGACCAGAACCCAGTCTGTGTCTGTTTGTGTTGACCAGAACTCAGTCAGTGTCTATTTGAGTTGACCAGAACCCAGTCTTTGTCCATTTGTGTTGACCAGAACCCAGTGTGTGTCTGTTTGTGTTGATAAGGACCCAGTCTGTGTCTGTTTGTGTTGACCAGAACCCAGTCTGTGTCTGTTTCTCTGTTACCAGGAGTATGCATCAATGTTAAACGATCGAGTCCCTCATGTTCTCCTGGATGTCCGACCCGCTGTTGAGCTGGACATATGCAAGCTACCACATCCTGCTCTGAGTATCCTTTGTTTTTTAATCTGTTGGTGAGTTTTTACATCTCTTTATCCACTGTGCCTTTGTGGCTTGAAGGTTAGTGAAGATATTTCACAATTTCACAATTATAGTTGTACCACAGTTAGATTTACACTGTTGAAAAAAACAAAGTTGCTATAATAATAGCAATCTGTCATAATATCATGGACAAGGAGAGAAGAAATACTGACATTCTAAAAGATCTGAACATCAAAGAAGATTGGCTGGTAAACAGCATTCTGTCTTGGAAGAAGAAATATTTTGGTTCATCTCAAGCGCCATGGCGGAATGGAAAAAAAAAATTATAGCAGAAAGCATGGTACCAGGAAGGAGGGGCAGAGGCCAACCAATATGAAGATGGGCACAGGATATAAGTGACTTCTTGAATATGAAAGTACATGAGGCGGGGAAGCTGGTGAGAGACCGAGTTTCTTTTAGGCAGACTGTGATGAGAGCGACGTTCTGCAAAGGACCTGCTATATGATGATGATGATGATACTATACAACTAGACACTTTAACTCATAGAGGTCGAACCAGTATTCTAACTAAGCTTTGCTAAGGTGCTATAAATGGCTATGCACACAAACATATAGTTAAATTCAGGATTTAGTGTTGTAATCTAATTCAGGCTTGCGGTAGTGAGGTGTTTTTAATCGCAGATACAAAGGAAAGTAGCCGTTGTAATCTATATAAGGAGATACTCCATTCCCTCACCTTAGGCGTCAGCATGTTCTGTGCTACTTGTACTGATCTTCATGCAAGACTCCTGCCACACTTCCTCGCCGTGTGGCTATGGATGATGGCTCACATCAGGTTAAACAGAGCTGGCAGGGGATCTCAGAGTTGGTGGCCCCCTCCGGAGATGCAGTGTGTTGAAATCTTCTGGGTGTCTTCAGCCCACGCCCCCCCCCCCCCCCCCAATGCATGGGTGATAGTCTCCATCAAAAGGTTATTTGGAACATGAGTGAAGCCCTCTGGGCTTAACCTCTGTGATGAACTTTGGATCGATGCCTGTCCACTGAAAGTCTTAAATTGCTGATTAGGTTTAAATGTCTGTCAATCAGGGGCCAGGATGTTGTAAGCATCTTCATAGCCACCTCACAGCCAACAGTTCACTCAGCCCTAGACTATGATATTTGTTCACAGCTTTGACAAACAACAAAATCTCTAGGCGGCATCGTACCGTCCAGTCCTAAAAATCTGCAGCACAATTTTATATGTCCTACCCCCCAGAAGGCTAACCCCATCAGCAGATGCCCACATAAAGTTGGATGTGTCGGCTGAAAGGTGCAAATAGTGCAGCAGTGCTGTAAACGGGCACAACACAACTTCCTCTTTGGACGAACACAGAAGAAATCCTAACATTGAATGTCTTACTGTGGGAGAGGCAAGGCTGAGGTTCAACTATCAAATATCCCACTGTGCGACAGACAAGGTTTAGATGTCTGTTACCATTGTCTCCACTCGTCGACCAACAGGCCGACTGTCAAATGTCGTGCCATTTAGCAGACAAGGTTCAGATGTCCACGGTTAATTGTCCTATTTGACAGAAAGGTTCTTATGTCTGCTGCTATTGGCCTACTCATCGGAGTGTGTAGACAAAATGTGGAAGCCATGCCCGTAACACCTTGTCATGCTGAGTATCCTGATGCAACAACATTAGAGGTGTCAAATGAGCAGAAGGAGATTGTGCCCATGTGTGGTCATCAAAGTCCCAGATCCGCAAGCAGCTCTCTGTAGATCTCCAAGTGGCACAGCACATGATGAGGGGGAAGCTCAACATATGGATCTGAGGTTGAGCAGTCATGTGCAAGATGTGACAATTCCTTGGGTGAGACCAGGACTAAAGTGCCTTGTTTTGGCTCTATTTAGCAGTCATGGATGCCTCCTTAATGGCAAGGATTGTTTATCTCTAAAGTGAAAGTGATTGTGTTTTTTTCCTTAATGAAAAACAGACATTCCGTTCCCACTCTTTAACAAAAATATTTCCCAGGTAGCGTCACAAATAATGCAGGTTGTTAACGACCAGTGCCATTCCACAACTGAGCAGCCTGATGGTTCAACCATTCAGGTTGTTTGTGTGTGTCGGAGGGGCAACGACTCACAGCTGGCTGTGGATCTGCTCCAGAAGAAACTCCTATCTACTGGGGTTAACTTGGTGGACATTCGAGGTGGCCTCTACAGCTGGACTAAACAGGTGGATGCTGACTTTCCAACATACTGATTGCTGCACGTTGTTAGTATGAGAGTGCGTATGTATTCTTCTTATTTTTTTTGTCTCATCGATACCAGGGTGAAGCCCAGTGTCATTGTTTTATATGTTTGTTTTGCTCTTTTTGGGTGGCTTGGGTTGTGGATTTTGTTCATCTCTTTGCAGGAGTCAACTACACCATTTATCCTTCTCTTCTTGGTCTTCCTCACGCCTTTCTCCCTGATGCTGTCTTGTGTGTCTGTGCATATTGGTGTGAGTATCTGTGTGGGTATCATAGTTTATGCATGTGTGATATATGTGTGTTGTGTGAATGAGTGAGTTATGTATGCATGAGTGCGTGTATGCGTGTGTGAGTGTTTCTGTATGAACATGTTAGTATGTATGTATGCGAGTGTGTGTATATGTAATTATGTCTGAATATGTGTTTGTATGAGTATGTATGTGTGTACGTGCGGGCGGGTGGGAGAGGAGAGAGGGAGAGGAGGGAGGGAGTGGAGTCAGTGGAGTGAGTGAGTGGGGTGTGTGAGTGAGTGAGTGAGAGAGAGAAAGTGAGTGAGTGAGTGAGTGAGTGAGGTGAATGAGTGAGTTTTCAGATGTTTGAGCATGTATATGTGTGCTGTAAATGGGTATGTCTGATTGAGTATGTGTATATGTGTATGTATGAGTGTTTTTGTGTGATTATGTATCTGTACGAGCTGTGTGCTGTATGTATACGTATACATTTGACAACCAAGCCTTTTAGTTTTTACCTTATTCTCATCTCAGTTTATGTACTTAATTTTATGGGGGGATAGGAAGCTGCGTGGTCTCAAGGCATGGTATCCGCCTCAAGTGCTAGTGGTTCCGGGTTCAATCCCAGGTAAAGGCTGTGAGTTTTTCACATGGACTTGGACTTCTACTAATTCCCCCTGGTCTTTGGGTAGTGAGATTGGACACCTGTGTGCAGAGTGCTAGAGGTTCCGGGTTCAATCCCAGGTAAGGATTGGGAGTTTTTCCCGTTGACTTGGACTTCTAGTTATTCCCCCTGGTCTTTGGGTAATGAGATCAGAAGCCCGTGTGCATTGTTGCGCACGTTAAAAGTCCTTTGGCAGTGGGAAATTGAAAAGAGTAGCCTAACGGCGCTGCCAGGGCAAAATTTGGAGTTTAAAATCTACCAAGAATATTTCAGGATCCTTGCCGGTGCTACAGAGCCTGTGAAATGTGCTGAGCTTCTTCGGCCCCAGGCTTGAGTTTGAAGAAGAACCGAGCACTTATGGGTTACTACCCGTGTGCCATGATGTTGATCCATTGTTCAAAAACTTCAGAACCTCAAAACCCCATTTTATTATATAAACGTAACATGCTTTGTTGATAAAAATGCAGTTGGACTGTGAAAGTTGAGTCTTTAAAAGTGCCGAATGTAAGATAGGCCTCTGTGCTCAGTTAGTGACCCTTTCAAATAAATGTTGTTCGTACATTCGCATCAGTGCCGCTTAGAAGTTAGTGAATGCATTTCACAATTCCTAAGTACCAGACAGACATGGTTAGTGCCTTGTGGGAGAGCATGTACAGTTAGGAGGAGCAGATGGATCCCCACAGTCTGGTGAGATTGATGCCGCGGGGAGCGACGAGGGGTTCTGGCAGATGCTCGAGGCTCAGAGGAAAGGCAAGACTGGCATTTAATCAGAATGCTACTGGCACCATTAGTATCGGAACTCATCACTGGCTGCCGAGGACGGGGACGGAGCGCTTATGGGAATGCCCCCAGTACCGTGATGTCGGTTCTTGAATCAACTCAACTGAACTCAAGTACAAGGGTTCCACTTACGCAGCTTGTAGGTTTAAAAAAACAAAACATTTTTCTGGTTTTTGGACAGTGGAACTAGAGTTGCTTTAGTCCTTATTATGTCCTTAGAGGCTTCAAATGAAAACCTCGAAAATGTGATAGAAATTGTTATAGCTAGGCGATTGTCTTGTAACCTGTCAGTATTATTGTTTAGGATGTCAAGAGTGTTAAGCACAATGCATTTCTGATCACTGATCAAAAAGCGGATAAAAAAAATGCTGCTCCTCTTTGCTGCATGTCAGAAGTGAGGGTGACAATCTTTCAGCTGTCGTTTTGATTTTAGTGTGTTAGTCTTCACCATGATGCCACATGCTTAACACTCTTGACATCCTTAACAACAATATCGTCAGGTTAAAAGATGATAAAATGGTTATTATAATTTCTATCACGCAAAAGCTTGCAGAAGTCGGATGTGTCGACCAAAAATACAAGTATTGCAGCCATGCTGTAAAAAGGCACAACACAATTACATCCTCTGATGAAGGCAGAAGATGATTTTTGTGTGTTTGTCAGTTTATCACTATATGTGAAGATTTCATTTGAAGTTCCTGTTACTGATTGCCTTTGAGCTCTGCACCTTGGTGTACCAAGAGTTAACATAACAGCCTCATGGATTGAAAGAGTTAAAGCGAAAGAAAATTATTTATAAAACCAAATGACTAATTATGTTGTTTCCTCCCTAAGCTTTATTGGGGTATTGATTGAACACAGTCATGCATGTCATTGATTGTTTGGTGTAGCCTCTTGAAAGTTGGCTTGAGGCACTTAAATCCAGTGCATTAGTGGTCAGGTCAGTTGTACCCGGAGACTGTACTTGCAGTAATGATTTTCTGACTTGCCCAGTTTTTATTTGAGCAGGTCAACATTATCATTTCTAAATTTTATTGAACGCTGATAATCCACTTCAGTAAAGTCTAACTGAAATGATGCAAAGTACTTATTTTGTGTAGGTAATCAAAATCCCATCGCCGCCTCTGTGGCTGAGTCGATGCGAACGCTTCGTAATGCCGGGATGCCGGATTTGATCCCAGCTGCGGGCAATGCGTCTTGCGTTGGTTTCGACAGTGGTATCAAGAAAGCCGACCGTCCAGAAAGCAATGGCAAACTACTGCACGTAAATTTGCCTAAAAAACTATACAACAGCCAGGGGCTGTAGAGGTTGGTTCTGCAACGTCCTGTAAAGGATACACAACTAACCTAACCTAATCAAAAATCCCAGGTCTGCAGACTGGCTCCTGCCTGATTCTAAAGATGATGAGTGATGACTGAGATGTTCATGTCATGGAAGATCATCTGTGTCAGAGTTGACTGAAAGTACACGAGACAGAAGGTTGTGAGTAGACATGACTACCAATGCCACACAGCATGGAGTTTGCATAAAAAAATTACATCTTTCCCAGTAAAGACAGGTGTAAGACAGGGATGTGTTATGCCATCTCTGCTCTTCAACCTTGTGATTGATTGGATACTAAAGAACACAGTAGACAGAACATTGAGAGGCATACGATGGACTCCATTCACCATGCTTGAGGACCTTGATTTTGCAGATGATATAGCACTCCTATCTCATAAACATGAACATATACAAGAAAAAAGTAATAGACTACACAGCACAGCAGAAATGGTGGGTCTGAGAATTAATACAAAGAAATCTAAGATCATGACAAACAGTCCAAACCAACAACTAGTGACCATAAATAACAAAACTCTTGAAAATGTAGAACATTTCACATATCCTGGTAGTGTGGTGTCCCTGCCTGGAGGGACCGAAGACGACATACAGTCACGTCTGAACAAAGCTAGAGCTGCTTTTGGAAGGATGAGGCAAATCTGGAAATCCAACAATTACTGCAGAGGGACGAAACTCCGACTCTAAAAGAGCATCATTTTTCCAGTTCTTCTTTATGGAGCGGATTGCTGGAGAATGACAAAAAAGGATGCACACAAGCTGTCCACCTTCCACCACACATGTCTACGTAGAATTATCAATTTTTTTTGGCCAAATACAATCTCAAACACTAAACTACTTCAAGTCACAAACCAAGAAACTTTAGACAATATGATAACCAAGAAAAGATGGAAATGGCTTGGCCACGTTATGAGAATGAATCCTGATATACCTGCAAAAACAGCTCTCACATGGACACCAGAGGGAAAGAGAAAACAGGGGCGCCCAAAAACAACATGGAGAAAAACGATGGAAAGTGACCTGAGTGTGGCATCTTTGACATGGAAAACTGCACTGAAGATTGCACAGGACAGGAAAGCATGGAAAGTCCTCTCTGAAGCCTCACGTGCCACTAGGCACAACGAGAACTGATGGAGTTTGAGAAAAAGAATAAAAATACCAGGTCTGCAGGCCGCCTCCTGCTGGCTTCTAAAGACATAGTTCGTGAGGAGTGAATTGTTTAGTATATGGAATTGAGGGTAACAAGTCACGAACAGGACATGACGATTCCTTGAGAGAGTCCAGTACCAGAGCCTCTGTTTTAGCTCTGCATTTATGGAAGCCGCCTTGGATGGTGGGCAGAGCTCATGACAACCCCATGTCGTCCCTTGTGGGATGCAATTTTTCGTTATGTTATAGCCCTAACCTGGCTTTTGCTGGGGGGCCCTAAAAATGGCCTAACCGCTGAACGGGTTTTCGGGACCCCTCCACGGGTGGTCCTCATCCACATGGTGGTACTTTGTGTCACCCGGAGTTTTACGCGTGTGTGATGTCTTGGTGGGGTAAAACCCACATACCTGCCTACCTGAGGATTACAAACAACACACAGAAAACCTGGTTCAACAGACATGAGAGGCTAGAATTACCAACACTGAGAAACACAACGAAATAACAGCATGAACAGGAGCCATAATTATAACTTATGCTATCTAGGAAAGGCTAGCTGCCTAGGCAGCAGTTTAATTAGGTCATTTTAAATTGATCATGATCATGACTGAGGACTGACTATTATTACCTGGCTTCTGTGGACCAGCCTGTTGTGGGGAACCATCTGTGACCTAAGTAATCAAGATAACCTCACAACACTGAGACTACATTGTCCCACGGAACTAACAGGAATGTTAAACCGGTCACAAATGCCTACAGAAGTCGGATGTGTTGACCAAAAGGTACAAATATTGCTTTAAATGGGCACACTGCAATTACATCTCCAACGTTTTATGTTTATTGCCGTTCGTG